GAGCTCTATATGTGCTAATTCCTGAGAGCAATGACCTCTTTTAAGTGGTGATTCCTGACAAGAGCAGATTACTTCCTTTCCAGTTGTCCAGATCTGTTCCTAGTTAAAATTTTTCAGAGCAGATTGAAAACATTAAAAGAACTGTTCAACCATGTAAAACATGCAGCTCTATGTGCAATGCTACGTTCGTACAAAAATGCTCAGAATCTATTGCTTGCAATAATAACACAGATTGCAGTAACAGACAATTTTTGCTGTGAAAACATTTATACTTCAGCTGTCAAGCAGTATATGAATTGCTTAAAACTTCCATCACACAAAATCAATGGATTTCTCACGGTGGGGAATGAGAAAGAAGAGCTATGCAGATATCCTGCAAGGGATGCAATAGCTTTATCCGACATCCATGCTTAGAAGTATTGCCCAGAGGGTAAACTCTGGTGTGGGAGGATGGGAAGAGCCTTGTTTTGCACTTCAGCACTGGTAAGTCACTTGATTGTTTTCTGTGTCTCGCAGAAGTGCTTTCTTTAGAAACAACTCAGCTCTGACATGCCAAGTTTAACAAAGGAACGAACAATCATGACTGAAAGTGCTCTCTGAAATCTTGAAGAAGGAAAAAGCATCTACCAGATGCTTTTCTGGTAAAACATTTGCTTAAGTAGAATTTGGCACTTCTTGGGTTACTTGGAGATGTGTAATGAAGCCCTAATGACAGGAAAATACAACAAAGCCATCACTACTTTATAACCCACACTACACTATATGCAAAATGACTGCCTGTATCAGTTTTCCCAAATTTCCTCAGTGATGTGGAACAGCTAATCCTGTGGAAGTGTTTTTTGTCAGCGGAAGGAGTGAATTATGCTGTTAATACCGATAGCATGAATTTAGTCAGGAACAGTGTGTGTGGCACTGGGAGAAGCAATGCCTGTCTCTGCCACATAGGTGTTCTGTGATCTTGGACTACTTGCTTAATGACTTCATGTTATTTTATGCAAGTTAAAAACAGTCACCTTGCATCTGAACAGAGTTAAGAGACCAATAAGACCAACGGAAAGCCAGCCTTGGTCTTAGGGTCTCCATCAGCAATATCTAAATGTGTCTAAATTTTTATCGGGTTATAAGCATCATAAGTAAACTTTTTTTTTGTTTAGTCTACCATCCTTAAAAAAAAAAAATGAAATGAGATTTCAACCTAAGATTAAAAAGACTGTGAAGAAGTAACTCCAAAGGTGAATTGAAGAGGCTGTCTCTTGTGGATTGCAGTCTGAGACATCCGCCTTTGCTTTTGTATTGCACAGGGACACCAGACACACAATTCATGTTTGTGGATGCTGCTAGGCAGCGATGTACCAAAAAATGTGGCTCACAACAGAGCACACACATTCCAACATTTTTACTGTCCTTCAGCTTCTCTCTTATAGTAACTAGTAAGACCCTCTATAATTTAAAATAAGCATTCAAGGTAAATGGATGAGTAAATTCATGGTAAATGGGTATACTTTAACCTCAGTGCTTCAACTTTCAGACATCGAATATTGTTTATCTGCAGAGATGGTGAAGTAACTGTTAGCTTAGGAAAGAGAGCTTTGTAAAAGGCACTGTAAGAGGGAGGAAAAAACAGGTGACGTTTTCTTTCTGCAAATAGTTCAAAAATAACCTGTTGGGAAAATGTGAGCTCATGCACAATCACTTTTATCTGTGAATATCCACGGTTGTAACATCCTAACTTGAGCTGACTTTGCAGTCTTATTTAAATTAATTTCTATGACTATTTAAATACATAGCACTCCTGTTAGTTATCTTTAGCTCTATCAGCAATAATGTTAATTTAGTAACATACAACAGCTCACCATAAAGTGCTTGTGCTACCATAATGGAGACAGCAGGATGTTACCCATGGGGGGACAGAAAAGATTGCTCCTTTCAGCAACATGTTAAAACTTGGGCCCTTAATCACCTTTCAAAATTAGAGGCCAATGCCAATTTATGCAGTAGCATTTACAAAGATGCAATTAAATAAGTCCTAGATAGGAAGAAGGTTACCAAAGTTTCTAGTATTTGAGATGCACACAAGATAAAATCATTTAAGTCATATAGAATCTGGACAATTTCACAGAATCAAGTCCTGTTTCAAAGGAATTTAAAAGGCACAGCTTAAAACATTTTAACATTTCTCAAAATCTAAAGAATGTTTTGTCTATTGTACAAGAAACAAGCACGTAACATAAAGAACACCAGCTACTACATACTAGGTTGTACCAAGGACTGTGTAACGTTGTTCACTCCATTCAAAACCAGAAATGTCTTGAACTAAACCACTGTAAATAAGTATGAGAATCACTTAACTTTAGGCATTTACATCTAAGCTTATTAAAAACTACCGTTACAGTTAACATCAAAAGGCATATACAAACTATGGCCCATTTCATCCTAACACAGAAAGGTTCACACCCTTGGATACTTCATGCCAGCTTTCCTATGTATGCGAGATGCCAGTAAGCTGTTTTAGAATTACAGATACTGACTACACAAATACAAAGCCTGCCTTTAAGAAGAATTATCAAATAAATACGATTTTTTTTAAACTAGGTCTCCACAAACACCTGATAAAGCTTAATCTACAAAACTTAACTACACATTCCTTATTTAATGGTTCTACATTCACATCAAAGTGGTTTCACCCATTAGAAATAGTTTATTTTCTACACTGTTTGCAAGATTTATTTTTAGCATGCATTGTAGTGAATGACAGAGGCACATTCCAACAGAGTACTACAACTGTTTGGAGAATGAAAAACAACCAGTCAGTTTTCCCTTCACAACACAAAGTCTCAAAACAAGATTAGTTTTACAACAGTGCTTATTCTTCAAATTAATACAGCAATGCTTGAGCCTATTTTATTTAAGTTATTATAAGCAGCTTCCATCAAACAGGTTAATACTATTTTCATACGACAGCCATCTGGAAACTTTGGAAGACAATGTCAATATTTTAATAGCTGTTTCCAAAAGCTTCCAAGAACCTACTCCTGCTGTTTTAGCTGGCACAGAATTGTTTAGAACTTGGTCTGTGATCTGCACTGTTATTGGATAGGGCAAGTTTTAGCATACTCAAGTTAGCCTGGTCAGTCTGAAACTGTAATGAGAGGGAGCAAGATCAGTGGGGTGTTTTGGGTTTTATATTATTTTTTAAAAATTTTATAAGTGGATAATCAAAGTTAAATCAAGCAATTTGTAGGCTTTCTATTAAAAACACTTTGTTAGGTGACCCATAATTTCCTTTACAGAAAAAAGTCCTTGTATATGCTGCAAGTGTTATCAAAAGGACTAAAAAAGGGAAATAGCCTTCCTTGGAACACATAAACAAATTATTATAAGCCTATTAGGAAGGTAATAAATAAATAGTTTTGAGCAAAGCCTCCAAGAAGGAGTGATTTTTAAAAAGCTGATGGAACTAGATTTCAGATTGTCTTACAAAATGTTAGAATTAGTTTGCATGTCCATCAATTAAAATAGATTATTTCCCTTTTGATCAAGTAGGTACATTAGTCTAATTATTATTAGTGAAGAGTTCACCTTGACATTGTAAGGTGCACACTGCATGCATAATCCTACTACCCTTAATATTTTGAATATTAAGAAAAATTCCTTAAGAGTTCAACACACTGTTCTCATTCTTCAGTGACCGCTAAGGTGCACAACCTGCAAGAGTAATGAAAATACTGTCTCCAGTGAACCTGCTGAGTTTTAATAATGCCAATAGAAGAAAGGTGATCCAGGACTTTCCTTCCATGGTGTAAGAGTCACGGGAAGCAAGAAGCAGGAGCAAGATGTTGCTAAGCCATCAAACACAGGAACAAAGTTGAATAAAATGCCTTTTTTCAGAACTGAGACAAATTTGTCTGTGTAATCTTCACAGTGTTTTGCATTCCTATATTTCCTGGAAATCCAAACCCATTTTAAGCTACTGGTTCATTGTTAACAGCTGCAGTTGTCTTTAAGAGTGAGTCTAAGATTTATTCATAGTTAAATGGAAAAAGTTATTTACAACAGTAGAAAAATTCCACTAATACTCTCCTTTTTCCATCTTTCAATAATTCTTTCTGAAGAACATTCAGGTTTGGGGCCTGAACTAGATTACATCTTTTATATCTGATTTGTCTGCCTTTGTTTTTAATTTAGAGGGGTTTTCTTCTGGAAGAAAAATGAGGCTCTGAAGATAGATTTTTGGGTGGATCTAGAAGCAACTACTGCAACGTAAATGTAGGAAATAATAGCTCTAAAAACTGAAGCATTTTGAAACAGCTACAGTCAATATAATCTAAACATTTTAATGCAACTTGTAATAAGTTATGTACTTATGGCTTGATTTAGATCAGCATCAACGCAGCAATTATCAAGAAAAACCTCACCGGTCCAAGGCAGGGATAAAGACACCTCTTGACTTGAAAATACAGATACTACTGCTGGTCCTTAGCAAGGTACGTTGAAACAGCAGTAAGCTACATCCTCATCAATACTCTTGGTCGCTTAACCTAGCTATGTCATAATTTTCAAGCCCTCAGGTTAAATGGCTATTCACTAGCAGATAATACACAATGAATTAATGAAACTTAATAGCAACAGAAAAGGCAAGGCACACATAAGGAAGAAAAATGAATTGGCACTATTATTCCAAAGGTAAATATTTGTAACTTTGTTTCAGTTAGGAGAAATGTTACAAAACTGGAAGATTTAACTAACTAATGAAAACAATTTTCACCAAAATATATAACCAAGATTGTTCTAACAATCATAATTTTCCTTAAGCCAAAAAACCTAATATTACGTCTGTTATTGACAAAGACAAAAGTTTTTAGCCCTGGAAGCTACTAAATTGAAGTATCCAGACATTTGAAAGTCTTGAGCACTTTAAACTCCTATTAAAGGCAGTATGATGTTAGGCATCCAGGACTAAAAATTTTGCCAACAGCTTGAGAATAAACATTCACATTTAACAAAAAACCATGTATAGGATAGTTCATCATAACACCTTTTTTCCAGGAATCAAATGACAACATCTGTTGTAGGTATGGGGTTTCCAATCCTCCTTTTCAAGCTACTGAAATTTATACGTAGTATCTATCAGCAACGCAGGACTGACTTAGTATTCTCTTCAGAAAGCATTTGCTCAAAGCAGTAAATCTAGATGATGACATTTACAGTGTCAAAAGTGCTTTTACAATGAATATACTATTCAGATACATACAGTCTCAAAATACTTCATGAACTCTGAAATGGTTATCTAAGGAGGGAACATCATCAGCAAAATGTAGTTGATCATTTATTTCCACACCAAATTCTTCAAGTACCCGTACAAATTTCTCATGCTCTCTCCCAATCCATAACCTCATTGTGTCAAACACTTGGTAGGGTGTAACATGAGCATGAACTTCAATTCCTGTCTGCGCAAGTTCCTTCAGCACTTCAGGGTATGTAACCCAAGTATTGCTTCCTCCCGAGTGACCACCATCCAACCAGTAAATTGCTTTTATGTTTTTTAAGAAGGCATCTGTATTCTTGTCTTTTTTCGCTTCCTTCAGCTCATAAAGCAGCTGGTTCAAAACCACACAGCCTTTACTGAAGCCAATCAAAGTAAACGACACTGCACCTACAGCAGACGGTATCATGAAGTTCAGAGCAGCATTATTAGAGCATTCACAATCTCTCTCTCTTTCTGTGGATGAGCAGCCATTTGTTCTAGGAACAGGCTGTGGCTGTGATTTACAAGCAGCTATGTTTGCATCCTTACTGACACCATGCACACTTTTTTGGGACAGCAGAATATTCTGAGAGAGTCTGAATGCATTAACTAGCAATGCATGGAGATGCTTGAAAGCTCCAAAGTCAGTGCTGTGCTCTGGTGCCCCAAACATGTTGCTCGCCACGAAGTTGTCATAACAACTGAATTTGTGCAGGTGCATTCGAGAACACTTTACAACCCAAATAAAACTATTAGGGAACCGGCGAGCAAGTATGGTAGCAACGTTTTCAAAACTCCAGTGTTCCCACTGAAAGTTTTCTGGGTGGCAAGACATGATGTCATGATAGTTCTGAAAAATTAAGAAAAAAATAGAAAAGATTAATTACTAGTACATTGTGAAAATACTTCAGCTCTGTCTAGTGTACTTAAATTCACAAGGAAGGACTATAACTAACAGAGAAACATGCATTAAAAAGGCACTCACTCGCTAGGCTTCCAGAACAAGAAGCACATTAAAAAAGTGGCATATTTAGATTTACTTATTCTACTGTAATATTTTTACCACACATTTTTAGTACCCCCAAAATTCATACAACAAAAATAAGTACAGGTAAGTATTCAAAACTTCTGTTGACTTCACTCTGAGAGAAGATTTAAGTATTATTCAACTTAGTATAACACAGAATACATAATTCTACTGTATGATCTCCATCTGCAGAAACACCAACTATCTTATTATGGAAAAAAATATTTAAAACTTCATAATAAGTTATCTTTTTTACACAGAAAAAAAAATATTCTGTCTCATTCAGCTGTAGGGAGTCTTTATTCCCCTTGTTCACATCCATTTGGGTGACGGACAGAAAAAATTAACTCCCACGTCACGAATGATCCTCACCTCTGAATTCACAATGGCAGAGAATACTAATTAGTTTGTTTTATTCAGGAATAAAAAAGCCCTACTCCGGAATGGTAATCAAAAAGGCTTCCTCCGGCCACCCTAATCCTTAAAATGAAAATCTTCACCTTACAGAAAAGAAAAGTCTTTTCCCAGAACAAAAAGACACTACCCCTGCTTTTGAGAAGCAGTGACTTTGGAGGTGAGCTGACTACCTGGAGTACCCGAGTGTGCAGTTAAGGGGACCGACCGCATACTGAGAGAGAGCACTTCAGAGCCTCTCTTTTCAATTTCTTGTCAGCTCAGCGCCAACACGTCCCTTCTGGAGGACACAGCGCCTGTGGAACACCCGCAGGACGGTGCCTGGGGTGCTCGTACACCCGCACAGCTCAGCCTGCCGAGGACACCTTCCCACCTGAGGATGCCATCGTCTTCCCTCTGCAGCCGCTCTTGGAT